TCATCTCATCACAAGGCAGTAGCCTGATTCATCAGCCAAACTCTTTGCTACTGTAAATGAATGAAGTGCCATTAACATTAATGGAAACTTACCCATTTGTACCAACAGAGACTCTGTCCACCTGTGTCTTTGGCAGAAGAGAAGCTGCAGGCTCTGGGATGGACATTGAATTGCTGCCTATCTGAGAGGATCTGTTGTTTGCTCATGCATATACATAAACTTTTCCAGGATTTGCAATAATTTGCACTCCTTACCAGGAGAGCCACAAGGCCAGAATATCAGAAGGCTGAAAGGATTTCAATAGCTGGGTTTTGTTTTTTTGGTGGGGGGGAGTGAGGGTGGATAATTGAAATGATCTCAGCCTCCTTCCCCGTGCACCTCTTGGTATTGATTCAGTTTTCACCCTTAGGAAGTGTTATCTGCACAGACACCACACTCCAGCTCCAGGCTTTATAGTTCCTAGCAGGTGTCTAGCTGGCTTAAAGAAGATGCTAGGAAAGTTACCACTGGAGTCACCTGCTATTACATGACCAGAAGTGTTAGCTCGCTCAGGTGTTCATGGCTGGCACTTTGGTGGGTGGAATTTGGGCGGCGCTATAAAAATCCTGGGTTAGATTCTCAGCTGGATGCAAATCGGCCTAGTTTCACTGCGGCCGAGGAGATGCTGTTGATTTACGTCAACTGATTATTTTTAATGGCTGTTCGATCGAGTCTCTTCATAACCAGGGTAGATGTCTCCTATTAATTAGTTTCAAGGGTTGGAGCAGCTGGTGTCCCCCCTTGCTCCTGCAAGAGTCACATCTGCAGCACGGCTGGCCTTCTGGACTCGTGAATGAAATTCAATGTCTCATTTCACGGGTCTGCAGAACCGCTGCCTTACTGTCTCTTTGCTGTTCTTCATCCTTTGACAAATAGCATCCCATTCGAAAGGCTGAGTAAATGATCATGGGGAGTGCAATCCAAAGCCTGTTGACATCAGTAGGTGCCTCTCTGCTGGCTTGAATGGGTTTTCGAGCAGGCCCTCTTCACTTTCATTGAGGGAAAGACTTAGAAAGTCTCCAGAAGTCCTTTTACGGACCAGCTGTATACACAGACATCTGTAATGTAATGCTCTTTTTGATCTGAGAGCTCCCCAAAGGGCAGCAGTCCTGTGTTAGAAACCTTTCAAAGTTTGGGAAATTACCATAATTGAATGTTCATATCCCTGGAGAACCTGTTACCCATATTTCCCCTGAATCTCTCATTAGATGCATCTGTCATAGTACATCACTGCTCTCCATATTATCATGCTTTGCCATCTTACAGCAGGTTACCACAGAAACAAAGAGCTTGTTATTGCAATATAAACAGTTGGATATTTTGGCCCAGTTACTCTGGGACCAACCTGGCAGGGATGAGAGGAAACCGAATTACATCTCAGAACGTCTGACCCCACTCCAGAATAGCATCTGGCATTACCAGCCTATCTGACAATTTAATTGTCTGATTAGAGAGTGGGTCTTTTAAATAAAAGAGAGACAGAGCATTTTTATCAAGTAATCAGCTGAGGATTTCTCATTGTGCGTCTTAAAAATAAAGAAGGGCCGTCAAGCATTCGCTTTCCTGGGGAAGTACTTCTTAATATGGCTTTTTTTTCTGCAGACATTTTTGAGGTGTGCTATCCCATTTCGCTCTTGACTTGTTACTCAGATATCACTGTAGCATCTTTAAGGTCTTCACAAAACACCTGTGAGGCAGGGAAGCACTGCTTCCCCCTCTGATACAGATGGGAAACTGAGGCATTAGGGAGACGGAGGCCATGACTACATGGTAAGCTGCCCAATAACCATCAAACATGCTGCACTGTCTCCAAGCCCAGGTGTAATATAGCTACATGGTGTTTTGTGCAGGCTAAGTAGCAGTGCTAATTAGCACCTTCCTCCACCATATTCACATGCTCATATATGCACAAAGCAGTTTTTCCTTCCAGGTACCCTTCCAGAGTGTCATTCTGCCACGGGGTCACTAAACCATTCTTCAGTGGTACAGGTCATATGTCTCCTGGCAGCTTTTCCCATGAAAGAGGGAGATGTGGACACTCGAGAGGATGTGTTTTCCATGGGAGTGTTGTCACTGCAGGTGTTCACATGGCCAGCTTTTTTTGATCTAGGAATGATTCAGTCAGGCAGGAAAAAAACATTCTCAGGTGACTTGGGCTAGCCATTGCATAGCACAAAGCTGTAAATACTTGAAACAATGATTGCTGTGAACAACGTGTAAGCAACTCAAAGGCTCACGCAGGTTCTCATGAAACATTTCTGTCTAGGTACTTGTACCTTCTGTCCCCCTTATAGTGTCTAAGAGTTTCACAGACTTCTCTGACCATTTCCTTGCTTCAGTGAGGAAATTATAGATGAGGCACCAAGGCCTACAGAAAGGGCTCACAGCAGTGTGTCAGGGCTGTTGATTGTAGCTGTGTTGGTCGAGGGAGATAGGCAGACCAGGTTCTGTGGGTAAATGTGATATCTTTTATTAGAATAATTTTTCCAGCTATTTAGTTGGTCTAATAAAAGTTATCACATTTACCCACAGAACCTGGTCTGCCTCATGCCAGTGTGGGAAGTTTGTTGCAGAGCCAGGAATTGAGCTTAGGCTTTTTGGGTACTTTTAGTCGCAAGTAGGGTGGCCATCATAGAGGACAGCCTGGTTGTCCTCTGTCCTCTATTGATGCGAAACCCGATGCCTTTATCTCCTCTATTTTTCTCCTGAAGAGAAAAAGATACTAGACTGGGACTTGGGATGTGACTTGGGATACTATACTGGGACTACTGATACGAAACCCAGTGCCTTTATGTCCTCTATTTTTCTTTTCAAGAGAAAAAGATACTAGACTGGGACTTGGGATATGACTTGGGATACTAGACTGGGACTATTGATATGAAACCCAATGCCTTTATGTCCTCTGTTTTATATAAAGGCATTGGGTTTTGTATCAATAGAGGACAGAGTAGCAGAAAACCGGAATGTCCTCTATGATGGCCATCCTAGTCACAAGACACCCCTTTAACCCCATGTTAATCATTTTGAACAAGAAACATGGTATAAGATAAATTAAGGGTTCCTTGTGGGTAATTAGTGTATAACAAGAACAACAGAGAAGCATGGAGGTAAATTTGCAATGAAGAGAAATTATACAGCAACAGAGATGAGAGCCGACCAGAAAACAGAATTTCTGGTCCCAGTGAAAATTCCAGATTTTCAAAAATGTTGAACTGGGAATTTTCTGCTAAAGGAAATCATCAGAAATACTGAACACCTCCTCATCCTTCTCCAGTCAGTAAAAATCATTCTATCATTAAAAAAAAGTCAAAATGGATATATTACCACTAAACACTTTAGATTTTGATGAAGCAGAATTTTCAGATGGAAACTGGTTCCACTGAAAAGTGTTGACTAGCTCTAGCAGCGATGCTCGAGTGGGTTAAGGACTGAAAAGGCTTTCCTTGCAGCCCTGTACAATCTTAATTTCTCTCCCAGATGACACAGCAGACACACTTCCTGTGTTGTCCAAGTGGTTGTTGCTCTCACTCCGTGTAACCTGCAAATTCTGCTTCCATTAGCAGACTCCCAAGTTCACTTATTTAGAGTGCTCGTTCTGGCATTCATTGCTGTACTGCTGATTATTATGAATCAATGTAAAATCATGTGGACAAATATGCGAGAAGCGGATCAAGGTTGAACCAGCCTTGATTCTTCATTTTTGTTACGCCAAATTTACACTATGGAACTAGAATCACATTAATATCAAATTGTCAAAAGCACGACTGTTCTGCGGAGTCAGGTCTCGGCGAGAGATTTTTCAAAGGTACGAATGACAGGTCGGTGTCTAATTTCCACCCATTCTGTGCTAGCTGTAGTGATCATCAATACGTTACCATGTCCTGTACTACAGTAATTTCTTAGGCCACCATGGGTAAATGTTGACTTTTTAATGGAGACCACTGTATCGCCATCATCCATCCATTGAGGGTTACTGCCTTAGATATATGTGAGTGTACCTACATGGAAAACAATAGAGCTATGCTGCTTTATACTAGTAGAGGATGAGTACTCTCCTAAGAAAATGAATTGCTCTGGGAAAGACTTCAAAGCATGGAAAGAAATCAGAAAACACTTGGGTTAAAAATGTGGGCCTTCAATCTGCTTTCTGTTCCATGGGTCTGATTCCCCTATGCGTAAATCAGGAGTAACTGTATTAAAGGAAACGGGAGGAAAAGGAGCACAAGTGAGATCAGAATCGGCGCTTGTATTTCCCTAACAGTTTTATGCACTGTTACACTGTGTCCACAAAGCATTCACAGGCACAATGGAAAATCTTGTTCTCCAACTCGTGTGCATGCGTGTGTGATTTTCTTCCCTGTGCTATGCATCTGAATATCGGGCCACATTCTTCCCTGATTATTTACCTTGGTGGAAACCCTGACTAGCGCTGTTTAATTGGGTTGAGTTACTCTACATTTAAGCCCTCACACCTGAGATGAACCTCTGCCCTGCTGTCAATAAGACCCATGCTGCTGAGTGAGAGCGAGAGAGATGAACAAATACTGCTCAGTCAACAGAGGATACCAGATGGAGGGTGGGGGGGGGAAGCTGCATTGGTTTTGTCATAGCAACACAACTCTATCAAACCCTGCCATCCCAGAAGAGCGACCCACCTGAAATGAGCTCTACCTGCAGCGCTCACAGCCGGTATGAGTCCCCTCGCTTGGACTCCCAAAACAGACTTTACGGGGCAGTGCCTGGCTCAGTAATGGGGCTGGGTAGGAACCTTTCCAAACCACAAGTTGTATTTTTATATAAACAAGATGTATTTTTTTTTAATGCGATTGAAAAATGGACTGGATTGAAAAGAAAAAAAGATCAGTAAAGTCTCCCTATTACCTTCTTAGGCTGTCGTCTTTCCTTTAAAGTCTGGGTAACTTGGGAAAAGTCTTAAGGTGGTTTGTTTTCTTGCTTTCCAGGAAACAGGAGCAGTTAAACAGCACGGATGGGGCCATTCCAGAACGGCCATTATCGCCTCCCCTCACTGCACCGGCTACTATGAAGGTAAGCCATGATACATTATTGATCATGCTCTTTATGTTTTATTTGTGTTCTTTGGAGAATGCAACCTCTCTCAAATCACAGAGATGCAGGCTGTCTTGATGGGCTGGTGAGGGGATCTATGTTGTCCATGTGCTGCCCAGCTCCAGGGCTGGAAATTGCAGCCAGTTGATATCCGTGTTTTAAAAGGAACGGTTACAATTTGGCCGTTCCTGATTGGAACTGAAGCAGGTGGATTCTGGAGTTTAGCCAAGGGATTGTTCAGCTATCATCGCTTGTGATGGAGTGGGACTGCCAGAAGTCTCTGGACTTGATTCTACATTGTGCTCTCCCTTGGGCTGTCATTTGCAGCTGTGCAAACTGGTTGCAATGAGTTATGATGGGAATAGCTGTGTGTCTCTGCTCTGCGCTGGTATAACTCATTGTAGGTAGCGGAGGGAAAAGATGCATTTGATATTTTTGTCTGAAAAGTTATCCCAGTGTCATAGATCTTGTGCAATGCTGTGGTCACACTGGTCAGGTTCATTATTGGTTTGCCAGGGCACTGCAAATATCCAGAAGAAACCCAGTCCCTGCCCAGACAGTCTTCTAGCAAAGGAATTGTATTTTGGCCAGCAAGAGAAATCAAAGGCAGAAATCACTCCTTTGTAGAAACGAGGGAGTGCAAGGCCAATTCTTTTCTTGCACTCCTGTGGACATTAGTTGCCCAAAGGGAATGGGGAAGAGTGGAAAGAAAAATAAATCCACCAGCACCAGTTAATGCAGGTAGAAGTAGTGCCAGCAGGGTGACCGCTGTGCTGGTTTATAGAGCCTCTGCTCCAGAATTTCTCCCATGTTTCCAGTTATATAATCTACATTTGGAAGACTTTGTGGAGTATGCTTTGAAGGGCCTTCCACCAGAGCGAAGGAAGTGATTCCTCTACTCTATTCAGGACTGGTGAGGCCCCACCTGGAGTCCTGTGTCCCGTTTTGGACCCCGTACTTCAAGAAAGACACGAGCAGTTTGGAAAGAGTTCAGTACAGGGCAGCAAAAATAATTAGGGGCCTGGAAGACAAGTCTTATAAGGAAAACCTGGAAGAACTAGGGTTATTTAACTTGGAGAAGAGAAGACTGAGGAGGGATTTGATAACAGTCTTCAAATACTTGAAGGGTACTTACAGAGAGGGTGGAGATGAGCTTTTCTCCAGCCTCAAGCTGCAGCAGGGGAAATTTAGGCTAGGTTTAGATTAGGAAGAACTTTTGCCTATGAGAGTGGTCAGGCATTGGAAAAGACTGCCCAGAGAAGTTGTGGAATCTGCTTGGAAATTTTCAAAAGCAGGTTGGACAGACACTTGGCTCAAATGGTTTAGTCAGGGATGATCCTGCCTTGAGCTGGGGGCTGGACTAGGTGACCTTATGAGGTCCCTTCCAGCCGTACTTTGCTATGAATCTGTGGGGTTTTTTTGCGAGTCAGGAGCAGAATGTAACACAGATCCTGCATGGAAAGTCTTCTTTGCTTTGTTGCTTAAAGGTGCCATGATGCCTTCTACCCTACACTGCACCTGGTATGCAAGTCTTGGTTACTCTGTATGATATACTACTGCCTTAAATGACCTGTGATGAAATTCAGCCAGCATGTGTGGTTCAGATTATCCGACATCAGACTTGTCATCCTCTATATTTTGGGTTCCTCAACACACCCTTGGGTGGCAATTCAGCTCCGCATCAAGCTAGAGTGTGCTAGCAAGGGTATCGGTGCCCTTGAGGCCCTTCAGCTCAACAGGAGGAAGTTTGTAAGAAATCCAATTTCTCCGAGGAGGTCTAAGCTGTAAGAGGATCAGCAGTGAAAGGGTGATATTATTTGTGTGGACTTTGCCAGACAAAATCTGTCCACTGATCTTGTATAGCAAAGCTGGGCCCTGCTAGACGTTGCCTTCCTCCCACATTTTGTTTCAATATACTCAAAATGAGAATGAGCTTGGATGTATAAACGAAGAGAAGTGCTGCCTTCCCAAAGGAGCACATTTATCCCTCAAGGATCAGTGGAGTGATACACAACCCTTACAGGCCTCAGGAGAGGGATTACCGTGATTTCCGATCACTTCTGCCAGCCACGTTTCAAATGTTTGCTTTACATTTCAATCATCAAGTAGTATTTTCAGGGCTGTGAACAGTTTTGTGTTGGTTGTTTGGTGCATTACTTCGCTGGGTTTCAAGCACAATGCATTCCTTGTTTTTTAAATGAGGCTTTAATTAAGGTGCAGGCTCTGAAATTGCTGGGCTGAATTTGGCACAAGAAAAAAACCCAGAGGGCCAGATTCTAATGTTGCTTCCTCTTTAAAATGTGCAATTCCATTGGCTCTGGCTGTTTAGTACAGTGGCATGTTAGCACTGTTAGGTGTGCAAACACGATTCACACAATAAGCCCAGAGATTTCAAATAGGAATCCATAGTGTTAAAATCATTCTGATCTGTTGTGGTCTTTCTGGGTTATTCACAACAGAAGAAATGGTATATTAATTTCCCATAGCCAAAAAATGAGTAAAAACTAAGAACTAGCATTTTGCAAGAGGTGCCTCTAGTTTAATGAGACTAATATGGCTTAGCATATTTTTCTCATACAAATCCTTTCTTAAGCCCCACTTTGGCTGCAAGAGCGCATTTTTTGCATCTATATAGCCCATGCTGAGAGGTATATGTGAAATATATATTCATGCAGTTATCAGTATCTCTGCCTAAATGTTTTTCTAAGTCCCTGTGTACATGTCTATACTCTATTAGACAAAATGACTCTGCATATCTGCAGTGAATGAGCAACAAGAGGAAGAGGAATAAAAACAATACCTAGCTCTTTTCATCCAGAGAAACCAGTGTGCTTTACAAAAAGATGACAGTATCGTTCTCCCCATTTCACAGATGGAGACACCGGGGCACAGTGAAATTACATGATTTTCCCAAGGCACTTTAGCAGGCCAGGAGTAGAGCTGGGAACAGGAACCAGGTCTCTTAAATCTGTCCAGGTTTCTGTTCTTCGCAGTGTGCAGGATCAGTTCCTCCTACATTCCAGCTCTACGGGCATGTCCACACATTGCCGTATGGTGACGTTGCTTTGCTGCTGTGCTTTAGCACTTTTTGGCTATGTGTGGACCATATAGCGATGTAGCATGTCGCTACATTGCCATAGGGCAACATGTAGACATGCCTTACTTGTTCTTTTGCTGAATTTGGTCGCAGACCTGACTGCAAGCAGGGGCCCAGTGTAATGTGTTTACACTGTGAGGTCCCCAGCACCCTCATGGGCAATAAAACAATACACTATTTAATAAGGAAGCAAGATGGAGAGTTTTAGTTTGGTTGCAGTAGGAAATAAATCCTGTATGTGCGAATACATTTTGCCTACCCTTTTTCCCCCCTTCTTTCTCCCTGCTCTTACCGCATGAAGTTGATTACTAGTTCCTCACCTTAAGGTTCATTTGAGGTCATCTCACTGGGTCTGTCATGAAAGGAGCAGGACACGTGGTAACTTAGGTCAGCTGCCTGAATGATGAGGTAGTGACTAGCAGTGGATGGCTCTTCCCACAGCACTGGGATTTCTAAGTCACCATGTGACATGGCTCTAAAAAGCAAAAGCAATCCTGGCTGTTTTCGGATATGCATGTCCAGGGGGGAGATAAAGAAGTATCAGTGTCATTGTATAAGGTACCGGTGCCATCTTTTCTGGAATCCTGTCTTCACTTCTGGTCATCCATATTGGTTAACGATAAGTTTTACGAATGGTAACAGGTGAGTGTTCAGCTCACCCGTGAGTGTCCAGCTCATGGAAGGAGGCAGAAAGAGCTTGGCTTGTTTTATCTTGGCCAAGTGAAGGCTGAAAGGGGATTTAATTGCTCTCTCTGAATTAATCAGGAGGTAAAGAGCAGGGAAGGAAAAGAATGACTTAACTTGATGGATAATACTGGCACAGGAACAAATGGGGATTTCCTGGCTATGAATAAACTTAAGCTGGTTTTATAAAGATGCTTGTAGACGTCATAGGAGTGACGTTTGAATACAAGCTCCGAGAGGCAAACATCCACACTACTTTTAAGGGGGAGCATGGTCCATTTCTGAAAGGGTTATACAATGTGGTTGCCTGGGATAGGGGACTGGACTCAGTGACTTGGAGGTCCTTTCCAGTCTTGTGTCCCTGGGTACTCCAAAACAATGGTAATAGGGGCCATGTAGGTACCTGAAGTAGGGCACATGTACGAAATATATATACATTTCTACTGGAATATTGTAGGACTAGAAGCAGCAAAATTGTCATACTGGGCTATTAGTTACTTGTACTGCAGTAGCACCTAGGAGTTACTGTATGCTAGGTCCTTTACCAACGCTGACCAAAAAGATGCTCCTTGCCCTGAAGAGTTTACAATCTAAAGATCAGACTTGTGGTCCACCAAAACACGTCATCAGCAGTGGCCAGCACTAGATGCTTCTGGGGACAGTGCAGCAGTCTGCAGTTGGCTGATGTGGTAGATGCTGACTTCTCTTTAGTTTTCCAGAAGCCACTGAAGTCGGACACTGGATCACTGTCTTGTTCTGTTGCAGCTGGCTGCCTAGCTCATTACAATGGTGTTTACATCCATGGCATCCCACATGTCAGGCTGGGCTGTAAACAGGCCATTTAAATATAGTTATGTATTTTATAAAACTCAGAAGGGAGCAGCAAAGCCATTAAAAAATAATTATGGCCTGGATATGTCACCAGGCTATTAATGAATTGCAGCTGGGGAGCTGAGTATCCACAGACTTTTAGGTTCCTAGGCCCTGGCTGAGCCAATGAACACCAAGCAAAAAAAGGTGGGGAAGTTCCTTTGAAATTGGGGATGGGGGAAGGAAAAGGCTTCTTGGAGTCCCAAGCAATATGGAAATGTTACTAGCATTGTGGGAACCAAAATGGGGCCTGGGACCATGGCATGGCCCCTAAGCAGCGAATTTCTTGCAAGGACTGTCAGATGTTGCAGGTACTGAGACCTGCCAG